TTTGCGTTGATGCATTACGACTTCAATTATCTAATTTATTAGGTATATCCGATGGTATATTATAAGGAGTAATTAGATTGTTTTCGTGGCAATTTAGGCGGCGCTATAGCAGCATAAGCGAAATATTAATCATTAGAAATTGCACCATATTTACGTAATATATCACCAATTGGCATGGGAGGGGGATAATCAAATGCTGCGTCTGCATTAAGCATGTAATCGTTTAATAGTACGCCGTAATTAAAAGAAAAACTTGAATTGTACTATAAGTTTGTACGCCGGACAGGCAATACTGTAACCGAATTAACGGATATTAATCATCACACTCTGCACGTAATTTTTTATGGTTTTGAAGAATGCCCAATTCTTAGAGCCAACTGCTACAGAGCGATTACGCACTGGTAGCAAAATGTTTATACTAACCATGATTTAGATCAATGGCAAAAAGCTGAAGTTTTAATGCTGTCCAGACTTAATGAGAGGGCATAATTATCACGTAGCTTTGTATTTGGTCTTAGATAGGAATCTAGATAATCTGGATTTAAGTGTAATAAGTTTATGATTTAGAAATTCTTTCTTCGTTATTCAGTAAGGATTTTATGATGTCATCCGTGGGGACCATTACCACCGCATCCTAATATAGATATTGACTAAAAGAGTAGAAGTTGTGATTATTTTTGATTATAATGAAGGTTTTACATTTGTAGTGCAAAATTTTTAATCTCGGAAATTAATTTTGAATTTGAGTTGCTTCTTGTTAAAAATGTGGCAATGAATTGGCCAATTACGCATGAATATGTTTTATTACATTTCAAGCTCTAGTTTTCAATTTAAATATGAATACCGATAATTATTCCCATTTGTATAAAACTATGTCGGGTAAATCAAGAAATAAAGAGTCGATATTTTATATAATTAAAGTGCTATGACATATCTGTATCCCTAATTGCGACTACAAAGAGCCTGAATAATGGGTAGAATTATGTCTATGATAGAGTTGTCTTTTGCTTTAGTTCAGTAGCCGCCCATAAAAACAAGAGCATATTATGATTAAGATGACAGACATCAATACGAAAATAAGAACATCCCTTCAGATTCTATTTATTTCTTTGCCGTATAGATCGGAAATTTAAAGCAATTTCCAACTATCAGTATGTTTGCATATACTTAAGATTTAATATGCTGATTTGTATAATAGCTAGAAGTATAAATAATTGATTGGAAGGTAGCATTAATCTATTTATAGTCTATAACTAAATAATATGTTTTGAAATTCGTAAATTATCTTATAAACAGTCTTGTTATACGCGTACATATGTAAACATATAGTAACTAATGAATTTCATCTCAATATAAAGAGGCTTCGCTTTTATCGTTTTATTTTCATTCCCCCATGTTTGTCGCTTTTGAGATCAGTACTATAAACTAACATCCTGTTGACAAGTTATAATTTCGACTGAGTTGGTATTAGCTAGTTTAATTTCTAAATCTATATTGTTTTCAATTTTTAAGTGTTTCAACATAAGTTTTAGCCGCATTTCAATCTTAGAAGCTTAAACTAATATCAGAATTCTGCTCAATTTAGAACAGTGCAAAGTGATTCGATACTGGAATTATAAATTAACAGCAATTAAAAATAAATTTTTTTAGTTAGTAAAATGTGCTAATGCATCGATATCGATTAATTATGGATAAGCAGTTCGAATTATGATTGATATTAATTATTTGAATATTGTATTACTAAAGCTACGTTAGCTTGCTATCTTCAATGTCATCGTTAGGGTCCATATTTATGATAAATGTATTGACAATAAATATTTATGATCCTCAACGATAGATACGTACTTATAATTGATTTAAAACTACTTAGAAACGCGCTAAAATATATGTGAAATATTATAGGCAACTGTATTAAATTGGATGGTAGAGCTAATTCAATCAGACAATTGCCTTTACTTAGTGTTAAATAACAATTAAAATTATATGCCGTTTGTATAGTAATCTTCTTGATTTACCCGTTATTTTTAATCCTTGTTAATATTCGCACTGTTGAATATTTGTTAAGTAAATGGCGAGAAGGCTTATTTATATCGATAAATATAATTTTGTGCTAACATGAAAGGAAGATGGTGGAATTATAATATGTTCGCGATAGCATAAATATCTATTGGCAGTTTTCCCTTTATTTTGTATACAATAAAAATTTTGATTATTTACAGTACTTTATAAGCTTTTGTGATCGCTGGGGCGATGACTAACTTTTAACTTTAAAACTATGATTAATTGAAAGATAACGATCTTCCATTCATAAGTATTATAATAATCAGAAATATTGCATTAACTATCAGAATAGTTAGTAGAATATTAGTATTACTGGTAGCTCAATCGCTGTATTAGTCTGCATATTCCCATATTGTATATTATTATAAGTGTTGTTTATTATTGGCAGCCGTTCTTATTGAGGATACCATTTAACCTATTCCTTAAGCGAAATTAAGTAAAATCTTCATGTTAGGGATTTATCTTATAAAATAAAAAATAGTAGAGTGAAATAAGTTGAGGCATAATTATGTCTAAAATCAGCTAAAATAATTATGGTCTGACATGGCAATCAGAAAACTGTACATGACATGAAAATTTTGAGCAGCATTCACATTATATGTGTAAAAACTAGCATTAGAAGGGTAGTTGTAATTAATAGATAGCTACGAAATGGATTTGCTAATTCCACGAAGAATAAGCACAGGCACTTTACATTGTCTTTTTGTGTCACAATCTAGATCTGATAGTAACATAAATCAGGAAGTTTTCAAGATTTAAATTAGATCGTTATTAGTAATACTGTATAAGTTTAATGATTAGTGCAAGATGCCATGAAATCTGTACTTGCTATTCGATTTCATTGCACCTACACTGGTATATAACCCTAGAAGTCATAAGAAATTGGTAGATGCTGCTGTATTCAAGAGTATCATATTAATTAACAGCTTGAGGATTAAGATACTTTGGTGGCAATAACCAGGCGTAATATGCTAGCATTTCTTTTTCTTGAAAATTATATTCAAGTTCAATCTTCAAGATTTTTTTGATTCTACATAATGGACGATTTTTAAAATAAAAATCCGGCTAAGCTAAGCCTTAGGTTTGGTTTATTTTAGGTTAAATTTTTCAGTATTCTATTAATATAATATCGACACAGTCTTTCTGTAATAGTTACATCGGCAGAAAATGAAATGGACGGTACTACGAAAATCTTCCTCTTTGCGAATTAATGATCTGATATCACGGTACATCAAGACTAATCCTTAATTTCGGCTACTTTAAGCATAAATTTCAGCATTTAAATTAATTAATAAAACATTGATGCAGTCTTTCTGTGATAGCTCGATCAGTAGAGCAAAACTAAAACTTAATTTTGGTAGTGTTAGGCATAAATTTAGCATTGCATTGATAAAGTGTTGATGCAGTCTTTCCATAACCACTACGTTGGCAGAAAATGAAAAGGTACAATTAAAATGATCCCCTTGTGAGTAAATGATCATTATATTTTTAAATTATTCTCCATTCTCGATAATGGTGTTGTCACAATTTCAATTCTGTGACAAGGTAACGTACAGTAAAGTCTATAAGTAGCGACTGACTTAAACGCCCTTTTACTTAACGTTAAATACACACTGCCAAATACTGTAAAGATAAAACTTTTATTAGCAAAGATACATCTACAACTTTTCACCTCACCACTCAAATCAAATGTTCTTGTTTATATAGGAACCGTCAAATTTGTAAACAACAACATTATTATTATTATACCTTACTAGGAGGGACATCTCGAACAGAGATGTTCCTTACATAGCTTTTCCATCAGCAAATTTTGAATCTCTTACTTATACTTAATCTTAATCTTGGCACGTAAGCTGTCTAATTCAACTATCATCAACTAGAACTTGAATCATCTTACTAATATCTATCCCACAATAACAATCAATGTCAAATATGTAATAAACTATCACAAATAACATCCACGTTGAGACATTACTTATCTTACCTAGCACTGCAAACATGGATATTTCCCATATTAGCCCCTACTGTATTTATTAAACTATCCTAATGGCAAGGCAACACCATAACAGGTGTACATTAGTGTTATACTTTGATTCAATCAGCATTAAATCAAAGGATGGTAATTAAAGCTTACGTGAGAAGTCATTGATAGTGAATTTACTTTTATGTATAACAGAGTTGAACGAAACAAATGGTTGCTGACAATGTACATTCATTCTGATAGCTAAAATTATATTTAAGTCTATGAATTAGTGTCTATATTGTGAAATGGTGATCTTGCTTGAATTTTTATGGGAAAGTCGAAATGGAGCAATAAAACTAGATTTGGATCATGGATAATGATAATATTAGCTTTTATTAAAAATAATTTAAAACAGATGTTACTATATCGATAGAATAATCAATGCAACGAAAATTAATCGCTGCATTATATTCTACCCTAGAAACAAGAAATCAAATTGGTTGTTATTGACAAACGCAAGAACTTGTGTGATTAGATCGATATTTTGATGAACGGATGATAAACATTTCCATCCATTGTCTCTGTAAATCATTATCTAGTCACTAGTTTAGATATTGCTTAAGGATAATACGTACGTGCAAAATAGAAATCACGTCATATATGTCTAAAGTTACAGTCTATAATTTTCTCATTCTTCAAAATTGAACAATTTATTCGACGTATGCTCAAGAAATAAAAAAAGAAAGCTGTCTTTGTATCAATAATTTATTAATAAGTTTATAAATGATCAATGACTGGTAATTATAATCAAATGCTTTATTGTTTAAGGTTGATAATTATAATTTCAAGTAAAAATTACAGTTCATCTAGACCAAATGCAATCACAACGCTACTATTTCCATTTCAGAGCTAGAACCTTGTATTTCTAATTTGAATACTATTCGTTTCAACATCAATAACGTTGGGGTGATAAATTATGGTAAGCCTTAAGTATTTGGTATGTATTTGATTTCTTAACATTTTGATTTTTTTCACTTTTGATATGATCTAGATTTTTTTTGAATTTTTATTTCTCTCTTGCATCTGGGTAGCGCTACTGCTGTTTCTAAAGTATTGGCAACGTACCTAATAGAATATTGAATAAAAAAACAAATTTTAGCTAATAATTTCATGTGAAATAGCTATTAATATAAAGCTTGAGTTGAAGGCAAATTACGAACCTAGCCCATATCTTTAAATCAACCAGAACAGTTTTTATTAAAAATAAAAAATTTAATTTTATTGGATTATTAGCATTAACAAAAAATACTTTAATCTGCTTCATCATAGCCCTAGCATTGTCGATTTGAAATTAAATCTATCCAGCTACACTTATAGAGTATAAGTTATTAGTTTACATGTACGATAGCTGTACTCTGGCGCACACCAGCTCCATTCGACATCTCACGCTGATGATAAAATATTCCTGCCGTTTAGCTTTGGTTAATTATAAGCCATACTATCAGAATCTAACTCATGGTGTTCTACGTATTTTAGTCACTATGTATAAGATACCATTACTTAAGATTGAAAGATTGTAAGAATAATACTGGTAATCAAAAATGTACTCTAGCATTAGACATAAGGCCTATTACGGAAAGCGATCGCATTTCTTTTATTTAATATCGGCACAGTCCAATTTAATATAGTTATTTTCCGTATATTTAAATATTGTGAGTGAAATAGCTAATATTCAAGTAGCAATATTTATTATATATTAGATGGTTTTACTGTTTGATGAAATTGAATTTACCTTTAGTCAACGCCTTGTTACTTTCACTTGCAATACTGTATTAATGAAATGAAGATCACTTGTGTATCATTGAAAAACTGATGCCAGTTAAAATGCAATTTAAGAATTGGGCATGATTATAATTAATGTTGTACTATACAGATTACTTTCATGACTAATTATTGCAATACTTAATTCGATAGTTCTAAATTTGACTCTGTTGAACCCTGTTAATTTTCATTGATTTCCTACGCATGCATCCAACTCATTGCTAATTAATGAAACTAGATCGGGATTTGTAAAAGTTAGTACTTTAAACTGTCTATGTCTTTATTGCAAGAAAAAATTTACAGTTTGAACGTGTTTTATATATTTTCATTTACGTAAGCAATTTATAAACAGAGCGCTAGCTAGAACATCGCTTAAAGGTGATATGGCTTTTATCTTAGCTTATCTAATGTGATGATATTAAAAGTACTAATTTTTCTAAACACTTTAAAGATAAAAAATAATATCCTTAATCTTAGTTGATCGCAGATTTGTATTTTATAGTGGAACATCGTTAGTATTTAACTTAAATTTACTAAAATTTTCTGAGAAGGTTCGAAAATTTTGCTTATACAGCTATCTTAAAACAAACGAAAAGAAACATTTCAAAGATAAATTATAATTTTTCAAGCAGATTTATAAATTTGATAGATCTATCTAGCGAATACTATCTTATTTCAAGAACACTTATATTAATATAAAGGCTAATTGAAATTAGTTAGTGTTTCTATATGGCTGGAGTGTAGCAACTAGTTATAAAGTATTGCTTAGTTAAATGTATGGTAATTTTTATGTATTGATTGATTTTGCGTTAAAAATGTATTTATGAGCTGTATTTTGAAAATATTTTCAAACCAACTCAAATCCATTCTGTTTGGGCTAGCAAATGAGACGTTGATTTGCTAAATTAATTTAATGATGTTTTTTTTAGAATTTATGCTTGGTATGGATATTTTTGAGAAGCTTAATCTGTGTTTCTGCTGTTGCTATAGTAGGAAAAAATGAAAAATTCGGTAAGATATACAAAATCGACAACTTTATTTAAATTTACAAAACTGAGGCAATATATATATTATATATATATAATTTCTAATTAAGGACATAGGCAACGCTGAAAGCACTTAGAGTTTTAACGCGATATCCAGCTCAACTATAAGTTGTTAATTTGATCGTTTTTAGAATCAATTACTGTTATAGTTAGTCATTACTCATTTTAATGAGAATGAAGTAGCACTATAGTCAAATTAAAGATAGAAAAATGCACTATGCGTGGTACAAACATCTGCAAAATAAAGTAGCTATAATAGCAATAATATTTAATCTACCAGTAACGCCATTTTAGGCAAGTGATGAATTTATTCTTACAGTCGATAACGCGTACAGTATATTTTCCTTAATTAAATAATTTGCGGAAAATTGATAAATAAAGAAAAGTAGGAATAAGCTACAAATATGGCGTAGATAATAATATAAGCGATAAATTATGGATGTCTTGAGCTTCTATTTATAAATGAGATGCTTGCAGGATAGCATTACTAAAACTTCTATCTTGGTCATTTAATTTAGACATGGAGTTGTTTTGGCTTAGTGCAGTAATTAATATTGGTAGTATTGAAACCTTATCCATTCAGAAATAATCCTAGTCATCGCATTAATATGAGTATCTACTGCAATGTATCTTTGGAAATAGTCTAGTGTAAAACTTCAAAATAACCAGTTTTTAATGCTCGAATTAAAATTAAGTTCTTTTATGAATTCTAAAATATTTCGCCATTTTCCATATACTATTTGGATTCGCTTAATACTCTATCTTTTCATTAACAGATAGCTGGTTTACTCATAATTTCAAGCGTTATTTCATCAGCTCGTCCGAAGCTAAATTTTCCACTGCTGTTAATTACTGTAAAAATAATTACAACGGTAGCTTAATAGAGATTAATGATGCAGCCGAAAATATCGCTCTTAATAAAATAGTAGGAACATTAACTAATAGTACTGGTGGCGCTTCCAGCTTATATTGGATTGGACTGGTAGATCAGAACGGGACATTCACTAATGCAACTTGGATCGACAGTAATACTACTGTTGGAAGTTGGAATACTTGGCATCAAGGAATCGTAGTAAATTCATCGAAATTATGTGCTGGTGTGTCGTATGGAGCTCATGCCATTCAGCTAAATTGGACTAACTTACGATGTTGCGATCATTATCGTTTCATTTGCCAGCTTGGTAAGAATAAATGGATTGCGTTTAATTTATTTCTTTGTATTGAAGTGAGATTGAATCAAATTGAAAATAAGTAACAGCATCACATCAAAATAAAAGCTGTTTTAAGTATCTGTATCATGACTGAAAGCTAGTATTTAAGATTTATTGTTTACAGAAGTTTAAATTGCTCACGTATTAAGTTCGAATTCGGTGCGTGATTCCAAGAACTCCTAAGAGAAACGCTGTTATAAAGAGTTCTTGATGATTTTTGGTTATGCATACGACATATTATCCTATAATAAACCCATGATATTGCAGATCACAAGCCATTTTCTTACCATAAGGCGATCAATTTTTGTGATAGAGCATCTTTGAAATAATATAAAATAAGAATTACAGTCACTTCCAACTTTTCTTCATGACATCAATTCGGCTCGTCTTACAACTACGAAGGACTATCTAGCCGCAATTAGACTTTCTAAATTATCTAAATTATTGCAACCAAATTCATAATTTTTACATAATCAATAGCAGAATGATTCTTTTAGCAATACAATGCAATCTTACTACTTAAGTTATAAAATTAAATCTCAATTTATTATCATGATCTATTCTTTATTCACGTTTCTAATTAAGTATTACAATACAAATCTTACGGTATCCACGTACTGGGTACACTCTATTCATGTCTCGAAATCTTAATATAAACGTTTCAATGGAATTGCCAAAATCCTATAATTATCTTCTATAAATAGATTCACAATCTTGTAATCTGACAAACAAGTTAACATTCTCGTACAATCTTCATCTTAGCTCTATTTGGGATTGCACTAGAACGTTATACGCGTAAATCTAGACGATAAGGGGTGATTATCTGAATGAGTTTGTATCGATAATTTTACTCATAAAAGTTAGAAATACTTGGCGCAATCTATTCATGTCTCCGAATCTCAACGTAAATACCTCGATAAGATAGTAAAAAATCGTGCTATTGTAAACATCTTCTAAAAAGAAACAGTTAAACAATTTAATAATCTAGCATACTAGTTACTATTCTCTCACTATCTTAATCTTAGGTCTACTACGGATAGTAACATAAAGTTGTGCGCTTAAATCTCTAGATAAATAGTAATAATCTTTATGAGTTTATGTCGATAATTCGTTGATAGAAATTGGAAATACTTAGCGCAGCCTATTCATTTCTGCAAATTTTAATACAATAATTCATTAGAATAGCTAAAATACGTCTTATAACCACCTTCTGCAAATAGATACCTACAAAATCTTATATTCTAACATGCAAGTTACTATTCTCGTACAATCTTAATCTTAGCTCTGTTTGGGACTGCACTGCAAAGTCGTACGCATAAATACGTATCTACAATATGTAGTGATCGTCTTAATGAATTTGAGTCAATAATTCACTCATAGAGGTTGATATTTTGGGAATAGATTGGATTTTCATGATGCTAATGTTAAGATTGAGCTACTAAGTGAAAGAAAAAAGCTATATTTCTATTTACTATATGTGTATATATTAAGTCCTATTGGATATTTTTGGATTGGACTGTGCATTTCTTAGCTGAAAGAAATAGCGTAAATTTCCACTTTCTGTTATGATTAAAATTTCTCATTTAGATTTAACTTCTAACAATTCTCAATCTGAGCTTTCGTCGTATCCTTTATCCGGTTATCACTTACCCACACAAGCTAGTAAGTTATACATGTAGAATGAATATTAACAACAGTACCGTGAATATTTAATATAAAGTTTATTGACTGATTTAAGTTTTCATCAATCGTCTACGTAATAACTAGGTGTAAATAGCTGCAACCCTCCATCAATGCGCTATAATAAGACTTGCATTACTGCAATTCATGACCCATTGCCGTTTTCCTTATGCAAAGACTATTGTGAAGCTGTGGGTAAGCGATTAATTCAAATTGAATCTAAAGAAAAATTGCAAGCTATAAAATCAGCTATACCAGCAGCCATCTACTCGGAGATGTGGATTGGATTAAGAAGTCTAAAGACTACGGTAACGGGTATAGCGGACTTTCAGTGGTTAAATAGCAGTTTACCACCATTTACCAATTGGGAAAAATTTCGTCCGCTCAAAGAACAGGATCCTCAGTCTGGAAAATGTGTTACAATGAGCAGTAAAACTTTTTTATGGAATAATCGACGTTGTACTTCCTTTTATCCATTTTTATGCGAGCAAGGTAATCCTTGCCAAGTTAAAATACTCAATCCCTTGTGGTAACAAGATTAATTGCTTTATATTACTCATCACTTTGCTAAACAGTACACTAATATATCGGTTTAATCATTTATGGGAACTGCGTAGAGCTCACTTGTCCCGTGGGATGGTGGCAACTTGGAGAGAAATGTTATCAGCCTTCCAGCAGTAATTTTAAGCAATGGTCTACGGCATTTTATCACTGTCAGGAAAGCCACGCTCGCTTAGCCATTTTGCATGATGAATCCGAATTTAATTTCGTTGCTAGTATAGTTCGATCAACGGGAAAGTCTGTTTGGATTGCTCTCAAGTCGAATACTAGTGGACTACAGTGGATTAACGACATTTTATTTGACACACATCGAAACTTGAATACACTAGATCTCTGCATGGTAGTTAACATAACTAGCAATGTTGTCTATTGGCAGCTACAAAATTGTCTTAATAACTACAACTTTTACTCGCTATGTGAGAAAGGTATCTCCTATTAGGGTAAAAAATAATTTACTCTGTTATGATTTAGCTAGTAACAGAATGGAAATATTACTTGAAAAATCGGATTTTATTCTAAATTGTCGCAGTCCTTATTATAAATGGTAATTATTTACTCTATCTATTTGATACACTAATGTAGATACTGACTACTCGATGATAATCCAATCCATGGTAAGTACCTTAATGTATGCCCAAATTTAGTAACCTCTTAGCTCTTTCTTCTGGTAAATGTCTACTGTTAAAAGATAATACGTGATTAATGATGGAGCTAGTTAGAATTAAATCTTTCTTATTAATAATTTGTTACACTTACAAACATATTCTTGAACTTTCACCGAAATATATATAGCAATCTATTTTAGTTACATGAAATAAAATTGGCTTATGAGAAACTGTTTTATCTTGGCAGTTTTCAGTTCTACATTAATGTTAGTTACTCGTAATGGTTTCAAGTATGTGACAATAATTTACATTATATTTGCTAGAATACTTATACTGCTGCAGGAAATATTTCGTCAGGAATTGGAAGATATTATTTTCGTGAGTAGTCCATGTAGAGGGTTGATTAAAGAGCTGAATTTAACGAATTGAAGTTAAATGAAATTGAATGAATGGTATTTACTGCTTATAACAGCTACATGCCCATATGGTTGGCTTGTCTACAATAAGCGATGCTACGACTTTCATACTGGTTTAGTCCCTAACTCGGAAGTGAGTAAAGAATGCTCACTGGGATCTCAGCCGGTTATAATTAATGATGCAAATACGGGTGCCATCATTAATGCGATGATCAGTAATGGAAAAGAAGTATGGATTGGTTTGCAGTATGTTAATGGATTCTTCTTCTGGTATGGAAGTAACCTTGGTTTAAATTATTCCGTATGGGCCAAGAATCAGCCCAGTCTTGGAGGTAAAGACTGTGTTTCATTACTGAAATTAAATCGTACTGATGCCAGCTGGTATACAAGAGACTGTAATCGTTCATTTTCTTTCATTTGCCAAAGATGTAAGTTAGAATTTTAATTATCCTATTTATCAGACTTAATCAAACAAGAATTTAAATTAATCAAAGTATAGATGATATCGTGTTGATCGGCAACCATAAGTTAGAATATAACGTATCCAGTACAATATATTGAACTTCTTTGAGTAAGAATTTAAAATAACTAAAGTATAGATAATATCATATTGATTGGTATTAGTAAGTTAGAAAATTACTGATCCTAATTATCAAATTAATGGGGCAAGGATTTAAAATAGCTCGCGTTGATTGGAATTAATAAGTTAGAGTATTACTAATCCTAGGTTTCAAATTTAACTGAGTAAGAATTTAAAATCTTTAAAATGCAAATAATATGGTATTGATTGGCATTAATAAGCTTTTCTGCCAATAATGGTCTGCTTATAAATCACTAGAAATGGATAAGTTCAAGCTACTCAAACTAAGAATAGAACATTTTAAACATGTCAATGAGATTATTAAGTTATTAAAGTGTTACTACTATATTTATGCACTTTTAAATGATCAAAACTCAAAGAAAATTTGCGCTGTATGTACGGATATCTTACTACTTTATTTAACGATAAATACTCTACAGATGCGTCCGGATTAACAACAGACATCATCATCGATTCTAGCATCTATCGTAAGTATTTTAGAACATACTATTGATTTCAATCATTCTATTAGCTTGACTGAAAAAGATGTTAGACTGAGCCTCTATTATGTATGTAATATACTTACTTACCTGCAGCATACTTCTAGTGTGTAATTAGGCTGTTTCTTGACGATGTTGAGAACTATCTCGTTAAGATGACGAACCGTCTGTAATATTGATTTCTAATAAACAATATAGGAAGAGCACATTCTAAATGCCCCACTTTTTGGAATAATAATGGATCTAGTTGTATTAGAACTACCTACCTTCCAATGAGCTTTTACGAGGCGCGTGAACTGTGCGGTTATCACAGTTCGGATCTGCTTATACTATCATCAAAAAAATTGCAAGATTTTGTAGAAAATTTGATACTACTAGAAACACAAAATATGTCAGAAAGTATCGATTTGGACGGTGCATCCTTTTGGCTTGGGCTATATAAAACCAATCAAACATTTCGCTGGTTACAGGACTCGAGTATACTACATCCAGTTACCAAATTAGGGATCAATAGTAGTAATAATCATCACCAGTGCGCTGCAATGAAATATGTTTCCTTTCAAAAGTCTTGGGTCTGGTATCCGGTAGATTGCATCGGTCATAAAGCATATCCAATTTGTCGAAAGATTCTAACCAGTAAAGGTATACAAAATAAGGAATATATAAATAGTGCAGCATAAAACTACATTTCATTTGAATAGAAAGCGGCTTGTGAATCACCTCTTGGATAGTTTTGCATTATTAGGAAGTTAGTATTATCTTCATCAAAGTAAGTTAATTAGCCGCTGATTTCGATAGTAGCACTCACAAAGAGTTTGTTATTCATAATGATTGATGCAAAGAATAGTTTTAATGCTGTTAGAAGGTTAGCAATATCTTCCTGAAAGCAAGTCGATTAGCCTCCGATTTCGATAGCTTTAATAGCTAAGTGTTGGTTATTCGGTACTGTAGCTAAGAGGTTAATACTGAATATCGTAGAACTTTATCGCTTACCAGGTGTTTAATAGATAAAATTATTACAAAAATAGATATTTTTAGAAATAAATTCTTTATTAGCATGTTAAGCTTACCAGTATTAATTCTACTATTCGGAAAGAGTGATATATAATACTTATTTGAAAATAGGCCAATTGCCCTTATACACGCGTATCGTAATCGTTAACAAGGAATAGCATGTATAGAAAATCAACTATAAATCTTCTTTTTAAGACTAGTTAAGACTACAATAACTTAATTATTTAGATGAAGTAAAATATTTAAAGTTGCAGAAATGCATATTGTTTAAGCATTGAATACTCCAGTAGCGTGTTAAAATTATAAGTATTAATTCTACTGATCGTATTGAGTGGTAGTAGTTATAGTATTAATAGAAAATCAACTATATATTTTCTATTCAAGATTAGGCCAGACTAGACTAGCTTTATCGCTTAGATAATGTTCAAAAATGGATATAATTTAAGAATTAAATTCTCCATGAGCAAGTAAAAATTATCAGTACTAATCGGAGTGAGGAAAAATAGTTATTTGAAAATAGGCCCATTTAACCATCTACTAATCGACATATGAATAGAATGCATAGCATAAATTTACCGCACGTTATTTATCCTTAGTATCACAATATACTATATCTCTTAAGCTGCAAAGTAACCCGTATGTTTCGACAGAATTTAACTTTAAGATAAACATGTTTGAATAAATTTATTGACAGGAGCATCTACCACGATACAGCCAGCAGTAGCTACGACTACTAAATCAACTCTAGCTTCAACTTCGACACCAAATAGTATCATTCAAGATGATAATTACGATCAAATTGTCGATGATTCTGGATTAAAATTAGCGGAAGGATTAAATTCTACAAATTCAAATACTGTCCAAGCAACGAAATATAACAAGACCTTAGGTAAAGATCTCTAAATTAAATAAAGTAATTTAAAATCTTACAGACAGTAATATAATTACATTAGCCTCGATATCAATTGCTTAATTTATCTATGGTTAATTTATTTGCAACATTTACACTGATGTCTCCAAGGTGTTCTGTGTTTCTTAAAATTTCATAGATTTCCAGAAAAATATATAAAGTTGCTGTTTTGTTTTCTGATAGTCTGTATAAATTTTTATGAGTTTGTTTTGAAAATTTTGGTTAATTATTAATTATACTTGTTAATATGTCAGATAGCAATCAGCAGAACCTTAATTTAATTGTTAGAGTCACAAACTGAAATTAACCGTAGGAAGATTAGTAGCAGACGATTTTGAGTTCAAATTACTAGCTCTTTTATAAACAGAGAATTTAAATTGGTTTCTTCTTCATAAATATTTGTTCACTTCAAATTTCCAATCAGATATTTTTCTATTCTAGACGTTCATTATTTTGTAATGAGTGGAATTAGGATAAACTTCAAAAAGGATATCGATGTTGACGTAGAAGATAGATTAGCTACCGTACAGTTCAAAGGGCCAGAATACCCACAAAAGATTGAGATTCCACCATCCGTAGTGCCAACTGATTTTAGTGGTAGGCAATTAGAATCCATTGAAGTAGGACAAGTCTAAAGATGAAGTTATTAAATCTGCACTTTACAGCCATTTAATGTCGAATATTTTATGTATATTACCTAAAATTATTTTAGGGAGGTTTCATATGGCTGTAGGAGTTTATAAAACGACACCCAATCAATACAAAAGCAGGTGTAGTAAATAACAAATTGAGGTTGAATACCAATAGTGATTAAGTCTACCTCTAGAACATAATATATAAAATTTGAATATTTTGAGAATTAATTTCTGTGCAATTTAGCGAAGTTATAATTTAGCCGTTCATGAGAAGAGCATAAGATCGGTAGAAAATTAGCTTGCATTTTAGTTCTTTGTTTATGCTATCAAAACTGTATCGAATAAGGCCTTATATATAGCTAGTTTGAGCATAGACGTAATCAAACCTGTATCATCTCTCTAAAATCTATTGATGCTTTTAAAACAATTACCAAGCTGTTTTATAAAGAGCAATAAATGTTTAATATCAAAGTAATATGGCATTTTTTTTTCTTATTTCATATTTTGAATAAGAAACCTTCCTAAAAAAATGCCTTTTTACTCATATAGTAGTATGAATGTGATTTCAGTCGAATATTTTGCTAGCTTAAGCGTTTTAGTTGTTTAATAAAAGAATTATTTTTTTAGCTCATCGATACCATTAAAGTTTGCTATTTCGTGCAGTATTAAACCTATGGTCGAAGGAAGATTAAGTAATCCTGTCGTAATTTATTTTAGAATCGAACAGGTAGCACGACAATTAACAAGATAGTAAAGTAGAATCTCGTATAATAATTAATTATTAGCAAGCAATATGGAAGATTGAAATGTAAGGAATTTATCGCTTATTCTAAGATAATTTTTATTTTTTGAAACTAGGATAGTAATGTAAAAGCTCTTTGCGTCTACTGGAAAAGAACGTATGAGAAGTTTAAAAAATAACCACTATCTTTGAAAAATAGCCATGACCACTAGTATACAGTATAATTTATACCATAATTGAAATTTATTAAGTGAATTTTACAACCTTAATCTTGGAAATAGTGTTCATAATTGGGCATCGGATGATTTATTTACGGAAAGGATCAATAGCACTGTCGTAAAATGTATCTCCTATCATTTAACAAGCTTCTCGGTCTTGCTTCAATATAGTAATAACACGGTATGGATATTTAAATTTCAACACGGATCAAGAATTGATTGATAACTTATTCCTAACCCCTAGTTCTTTTCTCTAACTAATATTTGTAAAATAGATTCCTGCAGTTCATAAGCGAATATTAAGTATCTTAACCTACATTGGATTGTCAATTTCTTTGATGTGCCTGCTATTTACATTTATAACCTTTACGGCTATCAGGTAAATCTCGCTAATTTGAGATTAGTAAACTCCATTATGTAGTTATATCGGCCTGATCCCGGCAATTTGGAAGTAAACATTTAGTGATAAGACAAAGGCAAGATCATTTCTTAGCTACAACTTATATTATCATTTCTTGGGGTGTCATATTTGCAAGCTATGTCAAGTTAATATTCTTCGCGATAAATTACAAAATAAGTAACCCTGACGTAGGTAGATTACTTGTTAATATCTGATCGGTAGTTGCGGTCAAATAATATTAATAGACGATTAGAAAGCGCTAAAATAAATTATCACTACTAATTTTAATATACACTTGTACGTATAGACGATTTCATAGCATCCGTGGTATGGTACATGCTAATTTAGCGGTATCGATGATCATTTCTACGTGCATATTTTTATTTGGAATTGAAAAGACGCACAACGAGGTAAGTTGGCAAGTGGTTGAAAATAAGCTAAATATAAGCTATTGCTAGTAAAAATTAATTTGGAGGAAAGCTTTATTACAGCAATAAAAGTCTATTTCGAAATAATTGAGGTTCATTAGAGTCTTAAAATCCGATGCTATTCAGAAAAAGTAATAGAAAATACTTTCTAATTTAACCTTTGGAAATATATTAAATTTCTTTTAGGGAACTAATGAATATTGAGTTTAGTTCAGCTCGTGAATAGCGATTTAATTTTAAAATTAAATTTAGTTTCCTTCACAAATCCCACTTGTGATTTGGTTATCTCATGTGCTATAGTAATTGTGTAAGGCTTCCACTGACTTGGGAGTCTTCTACTTAGGGAAAACTAACTCTTTCCACACAGTCACACACAACTACTCAGGTTTCTTTCAAGCCACTAGTACTTTTTATTCGGCCATCCGATTTCTAGTCTCTACTAGTTTGTCCTAGCCCGGAGCAACTACTACTAGCGAATGGCAATTCGCTCGGTCTTTTATACCATCCCCACTCATTTGTGGGGCATACTAGTAAATTGCTCCTTCTACAAATTGTATATGTTACTATGGGAGTTACTCCCAGACAATTAACATAACTTAGTATGAGCTTCATGGTTGTCTACCAAAATGGTAAGCAACCGGGTTAATCAATTATTATTGCCTAATTTATAATTTACAAAGCTACACTTCGTAACAGTTTCCAATGATTACTATCACTTCTTTTTAAGTTAGCATGGTCAACATTGCATATACGTTACAAGACCATAACCAATAATTCTTGTTTAAGATTTTCGATCTTCATTGCTATTTATGATCTAGGGGCTATGTCAAGCCATCGCTTTTATGCTGCATTTTTCATTTCTGGCTTCCTTTTCCTGGATGTTGGTAGAAGGTATTGTTACTTTTAAGATGTCTTATTTCTGGCCAGAGAAAATTTCTTCTGCGATCTTGTATCTTGTTGTTGGATGGGGTAAGGGCAATAGTAAAGTCATAAATACTAACATATTAGGTTTTCGATTTGATGATTAACATAATTTGGACAATTTAGGCACACCATTAGTCACTGTTCTTGCTGCCTTCCTTTCCAATCAAGGATTATACGGCACAGCGGACTAGTATGTACTCCTAAAGTATTACTAGATAATTGACGTAGCTTTAAAAGAAAATTGATCTGGAAATAAATTGATAATTATTTACGTATACTATTACTACAGTATATCTATTAGCTAATCTTATACTGCTAGAAACTCTAAAGCTGCTTTATTAATGTAGTTGTAGGATATTTTACCTATAATTTGAATAAAACTTGATGCTACTCTGATCTTTGTTTATTTGTAGTTGTTGGATTAAGCCCGGTAACTTTTTACTTTTGGCTTTCGGCATTCCAGTTATGATTATCATAGCTGTAAGGATAAAATGAATGATTTCACTAACTTGAAGCTGAAATGCAAGTATTACATCGCAGTATTATAAACTGACTTATTTCATTTCCTTACAGATCAATCTTATTCTTATGGCACGAATTACTAAAACCTTAATAGGAATTCGTGCTGTTGCTAATAAAAGCAGCTTACAAAAAGTCAAGTAAGTTTCAAGTGGAAAGCTGTAAAGGAAAAATTACTATTCTATCTGATTATAAGTCCATAAGGAATGATAGCCGTTTCCTTATTTCAAGATATAATTTGATCATTTTATTCTGTAATTATATATATAGTTATCCACTCTTTGCTAATATTTCATCTTGTATCTTGATGTCTAGGGTCTCCCTTCGTGCTGCTGTTGCTTTACTGCCGTTGCTTGGAGTTACATGGGCATTTGGTTTCATATCAGCTAACAATTCTACGGTTACATTTTCTTACCTTTTTGTTATATTTAATTCACTACAGGTAAGCTAACAATCTTAAAGGCATGGAAATATTATATCCAAATAATCAGGTGTTTTACTCTATCTATTTTATGGAATCAATGCAATCTTGGAAGGGGACATTCGTTTTTTACTTTCATTGCTATAACTATAAAGATGTAAGCTTAAAGAGCATATTGTTACTTTAATTTTGTTGCTAAGAGAAATTTTGACTTAAAAATAAAGGTTTAACTACTGATATTTTTGTGAGTTAACTTTTGAGATTTGATTTATCATCCTTAGGTCAAGAAATATTATATGAATTGCTTTGCAAAAGGTCGAAATGTTATTTCTTCCATGAAAAATTCCGATACTGGAGGACTGGGTGCAGCTTCCAAGGTAAGGATTTAAATTGATACATTTATAAAAATAAAGCTCTGTACGCGTATATTCCTTAAGCTGATATAAATTAATTTGAGTATATGTTACACTACGTATTTACATAATCAGGCTACTCGTACAATAGCCTTCATAACGTCAGTATCTGAAATTAAAAAAGTCACTATCAATTATATTCTACTTAAGCTTCGGAAACCTGCCTGGTCGAATGATATCAACTCAAAATCAAATAAGAAGTAATACTGATATTCAGTAAGGTCAAAATATAAACTTTCTATATACTTAATTAAGTACGGTAGAGTTTATTTTATTTTAGACAGATTACTTCAATCATAGTTTCTCCTTTCAATTTCCGCTATTAGTGATGGCAGTATTGTCATGATATTCTGTACGCTGCAATGTTTTTCAACTTTGACGCTTTATTTCCTGAAAAACTAAAAGAGGGAAACGTATTTCTGCCATTTCATTCTAGTTAATTTTATGACTTCAATATTAAGAGCTGTGATTCTTATTTCAGCAAGCATTAAGCAAATTAATTTGTGTTATAGAGCAACAATTCGAATATGATAGCATAATATGAAATAAATAAATTGGCTTATATGATAGTTGAAGTGAGGTAAAGTCTCAACTATCAATTATATAGCTATATATGTAATTGAATTAGTAATCTTTGAACACCTCAAGCATCGTTTCAACGGTAACTATACTTGCATTATCTTAGATATGTATGTTAGTAAATCATAAACTGATATATTTACCTCCATGTTACACTGTATGAAAGTATAAATATTTAAAATAAATAGTTAAAGCGATAATTTAGTAACCGATGATATTCAATTACTAACAAAGCACTGCCACGAGTGTAACGTAACATAGTAATAAAGTTGTAGACTATTAGCCATGTTTATGATCGTGTACGATAGCAAAACTTTCTATATTTATCTTAAGATATTTGCAGTAGCTTATACGTAAACTGTAGTGGATGATTCTATGTTAGAGTAAAAAAGACTATATTTAGAAGGGTGTTGAGTTACTATTAAAGATAGAGATAAAAATAGATCTATAATTTATAATTATTAGAATATGTTTACTTTATCGTGCTGTTACTATATGACTGATAGGAATAATGTCTAGGTAAATACTGTAGTCATGTCCACATTGAATTAGTGACGGTCTGCTGTAAAATGTTGTTAGTAATTATAATTTGAATTATGTAAAATATAGTAGAATGTTGCCATGTTGATTTTTGCTACGAATGCTACGAAAGGCATATAATCTAGCAATTTAAATTATTCTAGTAGCTCTTTCCATGATAGATTAAAAGCAACAACCATCTCGCTTGAATAAAAAAATATCGTATACTATCACAATAGAACTTGAATAGAACATTAGAATATTGTAATAGGATTGTCACAAAACAGCTTTGCAACAAGATAACGTAATGTACGATCAATAAATCAATTCCTTGAACCACTTATCAAGGAATGATATCTGCACTATCACAAACACTTTTGCTCTACTAGCAGACTACACAAAGACTTAAACGCCTCGTATTTTACGTTAAACACTAAGTTTGAGAATCCTCTTTATTGCACGATATACTGCATTTATATACTATTCCTCAATAGTTCATGAGTCATAGTTAGTACGATTAAGTTTGGAATCATTTACTGAATTAGATATTAATCATAGCTACTGCTCCCTTAATGCAGACAACAGTATTTACGAACATAGACATCTGATGACTAATACAGAATAGTCAGATTACGATATGTCCTATCACGGAACATTTCCACGATAATTTACAATCTATCATAAGTAAGTTACAATCACAATGATTCGAACTGTAAGTAGATGATTTTCATTCTTCATTATAGCTATTAATTTAGTATGTGTATATGTGTCTCTGTCATAAAAAGTCAATGCTATATTAAAATACAGTATATCCAAATTAGAAGTTAACTAAATAAGGATAGGCTAACAGAATTATCCTAACATAGATATTTCTACTGTAATACAGTATATAACACCGTCACAAGGATGAATGCGAAATATCTTAAAATGATGCTAAAATAGAAACCATAACATAGATATCTATCTCCATATTACACCGTATGAAAGTATAAATATCTCAAATAAACAATGTAACGATAATTTAGTGTTACATCTTTGCAATAGCGTATCCCAACTATCATGGGGATTCCTAAGGTACTCCAGCTATACTGCTAAAAGACACACACGTATGATGATTATATTAATACAATTTACCTTTATTTAACGTTGCCGATTCTCGATTCCAATACTTCTAATCTTCCAACTTATACACTTATGATTTGTAACTCATCTACCGATCGACTCACTTAAACCTAACGTTACATGTATTATATACTGCACTTAGTGTACAGTAGTACAAGTCTTAATCCTGTATCGATCAGGATCGTTGTAGTTGCAATACGTGATATTGTACTACTCGAATGTCCACCTAGCTTACTATCCATCTAGTAAAGCAGATACAAGTACATTCACTCACTTTTCAGTGTGTAATACGTTTATTATAACAATCACAACATTTAATCACCGATGATATTCAATTACTAGCAACACACTGTTAAGGATGATAAAATTGTTAAAGTGTCAAGGAGAAGAGAGTAACAAGCAATCATTAAATTTTATATCCTCTCTATTGTAGGTTAAAGGTATTTTCAATCTCGCTTGAATTTAAAATAATATCATATGTAATCACAATAGAACTTGCATAAGAAATTAGAATTTTACCGAAATAAATACGAAATATGTTAAAATAGTGTTGAAATAGAAAGTACCTCAGGGTTTTTCCTTCTAGTCCTTTATATACTAATTCCACATTTACTTAACTCAGATTATCTCATTGAAAAAATAGCAATAACTTCAAGCATATCAGAGCTTTTCCTTCTGGTCTACAATACTAGATCATTAAGAAAAGTAAAGTTAAACGATAAACTAGTCACTCCAATTTAAGAAATCAATTATAATTATATAATCAATGAACGAATCTCAAGGTAGAATATCACGACGGAGTTAATGATAGAAAAAGGGTTACCTTGACAAGTTGAGGGATGACTGCAAGTTTTAGTCTTGTCTGCCTTCTGTAGGAAATTTCTTACCTCTTATTGGATACTCTAATACACTTAAAATACTTTTGATTCCGTAAACAAATACCGTAGTACTGGCTTTGGCTGTTTATAAGCATCTTTTTCCTTCTGGTATTTAAATAATCACTTTGACCCTTGGTGAAATCGTACGATTTGAAATTTACACGTTGAATTTATTTTTAACTTCAATATATAATACAGAACTTAAATTCCGTTTTTCAATAATAAATTAATCAAGATACTATTAGAAATCAATGCATCTTTAACTTAGCTATGATATACACTAAATTTTCGTCTTCCGATAGAGCGATGTTAATCTTCGATAGTAGTTGTTAAAGATTAGTCAGATTTGTTAGCGTAGTACCTTTATATTAGTTTGCCTTAGCTCTACTATTTCTTTAGTGTTATATTAGTATTTAAAGAAACACCTATTAAAGTAACCCTTAATAAAGAATAGGGATTAAGTAATTTTAATCGTAAGGCTGCTTGATAGTTAGAGTAAAGCTGTGCCATACACCTAGCATCTTCTTATAGAATGTTATCATTTCTTTATTGTTTAAGCTATTTTGCTTTAAATGGTCATTATTTTTTGACCCATTAGTTGATATTGGTTAACAATTAAAAGAATAAGAGTTTAATGCAAGTTCTTTCTAATAATTACATCTAGACTAAAACCTATCAATAATTAATGGTTCAATATTTAAGGTTATCAGTTAATTTAGCATTGGGTGGTAAATTATTAGCGATGATTATCATAGCATTCTGACAGACGGTAAATTTTTTGGAGGTGAAGAAACTCTGGAAGAGCGACGATAACCCGAAATGGATGTTGCTAATTCTAATAACACTTCTTAATAATAACATTTCTTAAAGTATGGATAGTATGTTGCTGTACTGAAAGTAGTTGCAAAAGTTACTGAAAGTATATTGAAGAAGAAATTTTAGATGATTTAGCAGTTGTTTCTAAGAAATTTCTACGCACTGCATTCGGCTAGGGCAGAGCTGTGCGTAGTCTATCTTAGAGTAAAGATCGAATCAAGTTTCTGATTTCTACAAATCTTTGAGATTAGTGATCAATTTCATCGCGATGGTCCCACTTAAAAGCAATTTTAGCTGGTAACAATGAAATTATTTTGTGCTACATTGATAGGTTGGGAAAGTAGAAATTGTTCACATGTTTCAAAATTGACAAGTTTTTAACTTATAGAAATTTAACATAAGAACATGTTGTTTTTCTAGCTTTTGCTAGTGCATTGAAATAGTTATAATGACGCGAGCATATACTTCAGTAATATTAATAAATGCTTATAAGTTGTTATGTGGAGATGAAAATATCCTTTTCCTGAATGATTACCTTGACCAAGCAGATCTGGGATACTAAATACAATATTAATATGGTAATTAGCTACCATTTTCGGCATTAGATAGAATTGCTACTACCCAAAAGCTTGTCTAGAATAATTGCCTTTCTTACATGTGCTCTGGAACCCTGGATTCCAATACTACTAGAAGTCTGGGTAGTAGCGAAAACGTTTCGACATTTAATAATGCAGGATTTATAGAATTTTTTCACCTTCGTATTACAAAGTAAAAATTTTGTAATTAGTTTAGCATACCTAATTATAATGAGTAACTGTAATTTGTAACGCTTGATACGACAAATCAGGGTAAAAATCGATATTAAATCACGCTACTTTAAGCTAGTAAAGACTGTAATAAAAAAACTCTGACTTACACCTTTATACTTTAAGCAATGAAAGTAAAATACAAACGTCCCCTGAACAAGATAAAAAAAGAGTCTTGTAGTTTAGGTACAAATAAATAATGCTAATATACGGCAAATGTACTTTGCAGTCATTTACCTGCAAAGAGTTTAATATAACAAAGATATAGGAGAATACTACAGTCTTATTCTGAATTGCTACATAGCCAAAAATCCAAGTAATTCCAAGCAGAGGTAGCAAAGCAATCGAAGCCCTTAATGACACCCTATACATTCAGATTGACAATATTAGTTAGACAAAGTAATATTATCGGTGATTGAAAGCTATTTGAGGGTCAATTTTCATTAGATCAACAACATAAAATATATACTATTATCAATTAATGTTTCTTTTAACCTTCAGAATAATCATGGGAGATATGTAACGTATGACTCTTAAGACAATCAATTATAAGATTAAAGATAAAGATTATAACGAGTATCGCACTAAAAACATACGAGAACACTAACTATTATTATGAAGGTTGCGGCTGCAATAAATAATTTAGTAATTGCACCTTAAATTGGTGTTCGTCATGGTCTTATTTATACAAAAAAGGCTCAATAACATTTTTAGGCATTTTTGCGCATAAGCACTAATATTGCATTTCACGGTGCAATGATCTTTTCGAGCATATCATTAATGGACAACAAAATATACATTATTATATATATGAATCAATGTTTCTCGTAGCTTTCGGAATAATTATTGATAAAAATATATAAGCATGGCTATAATACGATCAATTGCGTGATTGAAGATCATAGCGAATTGCATTTTAAAAAATAAATATGAGAATACTAGCTATTACTAAGAGGATTGCGGCTTAAATAAACAATAGACTATTTACAATTTAAATTGGTGTTTAGTCTATTATTATTTGTAGGGAAGAGACCCATAAATATTTTAGGCAACTATATCAGCACTAATATCACGTTGTGGGACGATGATCTTGTCAATCATATCATAAGTTGGCTTTAATTGTTTTTTTAGAGACAATATTGAATCTTATTCGCTTTATTATAATCTAAATCAATTTTTATATTATGAAGTAACCTTGTCTTCTGAATCTTGGATTTGTTTGCCATTGCGCGGATTCCCATCAAAGTTCGAGTAATCAGAATCATAAAAATAAGATTAATCTAAAAACAATCAGAAAAAATAAATTTATGCCATCGTTATATTTAGTAATTACCTTTTACTATAAATAGAAAACGGTAAAAGATTTATTCTTCTCTTGCGACTTACACCTATAGTCACTAAGCCGGGAATTCCAAAAGCAAATAATAAAAAATTGCCAGGAGCTATCCAGCAACTGAGTTGGAAGTCAAAATTGAGGTCAGCGTTAGTTTGTGAAACAATAATTAATGATTTAACATACTAATTACTGGTCCCATAAAATTCTTTTCTCAACAGGAAAGCAACAAGGACAATGATAAATGGTGTGCCTTGAATTATAAATGATCAAAATTATGACGTCAAATTCATCACTAGTATTTGCACAGAATTGAATATCGATACGAACCCCATCCAATTATGACATATATTATACAAGAAGCCATTTTCTCCGTCCAATGGATAGACATTTTAAAGGTCACAATTCCTTCAACCAACATCCAAGAAAAAGAAGCCAAAAATGAAAAGTGAAGCACAACGGCAATGATTTGACATAAAACCTAATGCATCCAAAAGTATTGTGAACGGGACATTAGTCAGCTATAATATCTGTCGAGGAGTAGATATCGGTAAATTAACAGCCATCACAAACGCTTACTTTTCATTAGATACGCATTTATAGCATTATTCTCTCTACATTAATTTTTTTTAACGAGTAGCACTGGCAATATCTTATCTATTATACCTCGTTATCGGTTTTTTGAATTCCAGCTATATAAACAGAAGTCGAAATGATTAGAGATGCTGCCAAGTTAGCATGGACTACGCCTCGGATACTATAGAATCGCCTGCATTAAAAAAAGTATATTCCACGTTCTTAGATGGCATTGAATCTATTAAATTTGACTCTATTTTTTTTTTTAATTGCTATATTAATAATTAAATTCAGTAAAGGATTAATCAGAATCTTCAAACTATCATACCTGACTATTGTAAAGGTTAGAAGTGTAAGAATGAGGCAAAATAAAGAAGTAGATAGTCCAACATAAGTTAAAATGCTTAAAAGTTTCTGATGGATAGGATCAATCTTATTTATTTGATAATGAAAAGAGTGCTATAAGTATCTTTATTAATTAATTAATTAATCTATAATGTGGTATAAGTAAATTTCTTGTGACTTACCTTATAACTGTCAGTTTGCAGTAAGACAGAAAAGCTTGTTAGATGATAGGCTATACATTTAACGATGGTACTGTTTACTTGCTGAGTTTCTACCCCATCTGTTGCCCAGTGTCTAAGAAACATTTAAGGGGAAACGAAAATAGTTTAATTCATCTTATTATATTCTTGTCTAGCCAGCAAAGGTAAAAGTAAATCTTGTTTACTCTACTGGATTGAAAAATGAGAGTAGCGGTACTTACTTCTCCTTCCAATAGGCACACAAGGGTTGGATTGTAGTATTCTAAAGTATAAATGAAAGAATACATACAGTTAATGCATCTCAATGCACGAAGCTTGTTAGTAATTGACTAATCAACTCGTAGATGCCCAATATAGATCTTATTGTACTTATATTAGGTCTCATTACCAGAGTAATTTTAAAATAGAATATGACCGGATCTGGAAATCTTCCCATTATTAAGGGTTTAATGTTGCATGATATGGAATGCTGCATTAATGGCAATTTACTACAAATCGAGAAAAGCTATTGATTAAGTAACACGACCATATCATATCTATCTTTAAAAGTACGAATACGAGTAGCAGCGACATTTTAAGATCTATTCAGTATTTTCTATGCTCAATCATATCAGAGAAATCTAGTGTAACTTATATAGAAATTGAATTTATTCAGTCTTAATTACACCGATAATCTGATTTTAAAATTTCAATTTTCAACTTTTCATATGAACCTGTTATCAATTCAGGGCTCGATTAAAAGAACAATTACTTCCTTATTTTAAAATGCGTATTACTATTTATATATTTCTACCTGCTTTCAATTTGAATCGGAGTAGTTTTATATATTCCTAAAGCCACTTGATATCTCTCTACGAAGCGTCAAATAAAGGTTACGATGGCATTTAATGATAAGATGAAAAATTGTGGTATATCATCGTACCGCTAGGTTCAGTAGGGACCACTATTAGAGGTATTCTAACTCTCAGTGGATATCCATAATATGTAGATAATAACCGTAAGGTTTGCTTTTCTAATTTAATATCAGTTATTTGGCTGCCATTGCTTTTCAAAGCATTTACAAGAACATAATAAACCCCTAAAAAGTAATAGTAGTCTTTAAGGCTAAGCTTTCTGATCATGTTAACGATTACATTAGTTATGAAAATCTGCTGAAAATAATATCAGTCTATGAAAAAAATAGTTATTCTCTATCGCTATTTAATCTTAATCGATATAAATCTAGCACATGATAAATACACCGTAAAAACTTCCTCGGTAGTTTAATTTCCAATAACAATTCTGAAATATCTAATAGTTATCAAAGGTACTGCTACATCTATTTCGTTATTTTCTGAATTATGGCATATAGAATCCTATTTGCTAGACGCTTAATCCGTTTTAAAATTAAGGTTTAATTACAAGCTACCGATCTAATCTAGGTATGCTGAGTCTCTAAATCATAAATCAAGTGGAACAAATTTGCAAGATACTATACTTAGGCAAAAAATGAATCTACAACTTAACTGATACGTGGTATTAATAACCAAATATACCATTATCGAATACAAAATATTTATTATTTTAATAATAAATATTAAGGAATGAAAATTTTAAAGGCAAAATTAGTTATATGATGAGTTTTACGAATAAATCTCTACCTAAAGCCTCATCGTGATAGGATGATTGCACCATGCTGGAATTAGTGGGTAAATTCTGTGCTAATTGTAATCCAGTCTTTTCTACCAATTCAATATAATTTATTTTTTCCGTAAAGTCGTTTTGATGTATTGAACTTAATGTTTGATTAGATATTAAATTGGATGCCAAACTGGATGTAGAGAGGGATTCTGCACTAGAAATGAAAGCAACAGTTGAATCGGAAGGTGCTGGTGATGGCGTTGTACTTTCTGTTTCTTAAAAACATAGTAACAAATTTAATAAATTATGCCTTAAAAATGCTATTTTAATTTCATAAGATGGAGTAAATTGACTTTAGATCTATAAAATGTCTTAAAATTATCACGAAAAGATAACTACTGTTTTGTAGTCTATTTAATTAGATGAAACTATAGCTAACAGTAATAGCAGACAATTAAAAATTTTAACTATATTATCCTTAAAATTAGTTTAGGTTAAAGCAAGGATTTTGATTGTATGATTGGTGCAAGTAGAAAGTATGTGACTGAATAACATGAATGGTGTTTGGTAACGTTGGTAATTAATAGCTTGAAGACTGCATGATGTGGTTGAGTTACTTTTCTTACCTGTAATTATTAACGTTTTTCGACAGATCGGGTAGGCTTTATAATGAAAGCAATTTGCTGGATACCATTCCCAGGATTCTGTTTCCTTCATATATTTCATAATCACACATCGATGGGTAGTTTCGCTAGAGTTGGCTTTCAATTTTGTAACCACGAGGTGATCAAGAGATCTACTTTGTATCCACATATAAACTTCGCTGGATTTTTTGTATAATCCAATCCAAAAAGACTGATTGGTATAGCTAATTGATCGAAATCTAATTTTCATTTCATATGGTATTAGATTTTCCACGAAACTTCGAATTTCTGGAGAAAGTATAACCAAATCCGATCTATGAATACGACATAATTCGCGTGCTTCATGAAAACTTAACTTTGCATAAAAAATTTTAATGCAGCTGGAATCATTCATAAGCCAAGACTTTGGACATTCAAAGGTTTTCCCGACTATTATAAAATAATAATAACGTAATTAAATACCATTAAATTCGTCCTTAGTTATCGGGTATAATACAAAATACTGTGATTATTGACCGAATATATAATATCAGATATCGATACGTGTATAGAGGTAAGACAAAGACCGAAATGATGACTATAGCAAGTTTTGATGCAATTACTACCAAAAAATTAAGAGCGCATTTGTTTTATGATTGAATTTTAAATACTAGAAGAATAAATAGTAGAAATCAAACTTATACCAAATTTGTTGTTTAGTCTGAGGAGATTTTTCGTTAATGAAATTGAATCTAGACCAAGAATAAATATAACATATTTATAAAGCAATTTATTTAACCAAGCCAATAAGATCCATAAATTTGGTTTAAAAATTTCTTGCCTAAAAATAAGGCTAGAATCTATAAAATTGGCAATCAACTGATGTGTTTTAATATGCTTACAAGACTAATCTTTTTTATATACCGGTAATTTAATTTGCCTTATGTCACCAAATTCAGTTACTGTATTTAAGGTATGGTACATTCAGATATTAATGCTACAGTTAAGTTCTGACGAACTATCAGAATTATGGTAACTAACAGCAACAATTTATGAATTTATCAGTGTTTCATATGGAAATCTTTACTATTTAGCTAAATTACACCTGTTGCATTGTATGAAATAAGTATACTTATGATGAGATTATCAAGCCTAAAAACTCTTTACTATTTAACTAAATTACCTACACTGTACCGTATAAAATTCACGTAACTATGAAGGAATTATCATGTCTAGTCAGATTAATTACAAGACAACCTAATATCAGAACTAATATGCAAACTACCTTCTTGTACCCGTAGTTATAAAGGTTAAATCAGAATTGTACTAAAACATCTTTTTTGACTCAGTTATAAAAAATTTGGTACTGCATAGAGCTATAGGAATTTGTTACTTTATACAGCCATCTAGTACACTTAAATCCACTGGAATTTTTCAAATTTATTTCTTAACATATTTTTGGGGGGAGGCAAAGAATTCACGAAGAAAATAAATTTTCTGAAGCAAACAGTAAACTACTTCAGTCTCTAATTACCTAATTATTATGCGTTAGTAACTTTTATTTGAAAAAATAATCATCAAAACCAATAAATTAACGAAGCAATATGTGTTAATTATAGCTACTTGAGTGAAATATTTTAATGGGCTTAGTTCATAGAATATCTTCTAGTACACAATCTAACTATGAAAGGTAATGAAAATAGTATAATGAAATCGAAATGTTTCTTACGTCTTTGGCAAATGTATGCGTATTTTTCTTCACAATTTCGAGTATACCAATAGCTCTTGGATTCATTATGCCTTTGTAAAGTTACACATCGACTTTCATTAAGCAACCTTGGCTCTCCTTTTGCCCAGTTAGAATAGTTAAGCATCGTTTTATTATCGAACCACGAAAAAAAACCAGATTTGTACTGCAAGCCGATCCAAGCTTCATCTCCATCACTTAGCATTGAAGTGATCATGGTTTCAAGGGTTTGATCCAGAATAATGGCAGGATAAGAAGCCAATGTATCTTGACAATAATTCTCAGATAATGAATTTTTTATTTTAGTACCTTTCAATCTAAAACAGTATCTTTCATATAGAAGCCAATTGTTAGAACATAAACCTATTAAAATTCAGACAGATATGAAATTTTTTGTTAATGTAATCAGTACGCTGTATTACATATGCAATTATTGTTCTTTGCTAATGCAGATAGCGAAAAGTTTTACTTTACTTACGGAACTGCTTTGTTCCAATCGAATTTAAGATAGCATCTGTTTGCTTATTCTATATTAGAAAAAAGAGTCTGATGAAGGAAAAAATCGAACTATAATACCACCTATGACCATAAAATATAACGCCCATATAGCTGATACCTACTGAACTGCAGGATTATTTATAATTGAATATTATCGTAGGTTAGAAATTATTGAGGCATCATCTTGATCAGTGCTACTACCGACTGAAGTACCCAAGAAAAGCTAATTATGTGCAAGTTTTCGAAAAATTACACTGTATCATAAATACACTCTCATATTAAGTCAACATAAACTGTTTATTGCATCGCATCGTAGTAATGAAGAACAGTTTAGATCTACAGTATACTGTAAGATTTTAATAGCTTGATTACTATATAATTTTGCAAAGATTTACAATATTTAACCATATCAAAAAATATAAAACTTGAATTTTTAGCTGTGTTTAGATGAAAATTCTGAGGTACTAATTGATGACAGAATTCGTACCGAAATAATATTGGTACCGTCCGGTGATGTTGCGCCTGTCAGACAATATGAAACAAAAATTTAAATCGAGCTTTACAGAAAATGCAATCTAGAATCTAATGCAGTTGGAAAATAATAGGTTTATACTTTTTATATAAATATTTTTGATTTACCTCGCATGCAAAGTGGATACAAATAATGAATGTTTAGACATTTTTGCAACTGCCAGTAAATGATACCATTGCTTACATTGGCTACCATGCAAATATCCTTTGCATTAGGATGTTGATGTAGTTGATATTGGTCTTCACTTATCCACTGTAGTCCACTCATGTTCGATTTAAGAGCGATCCACATCGATTTATCTGTCGATAAAGCTAGGCTCTTGACAAATTCATATTCAGATTGATCATGGACAATGGCTAAACTAGCATTCAAATCCATGCAGTATGCGAATGCATTAGACCATGAATTATAACTCGTTGATGAAGGTAGATAACACCTTTCACCAATTTGCAACCAGTCTATAGGACATCTGAGCTCTGTTAAATTGTACAAAGTCGTTAAGTAGCTTATTAAAACGTAACGTATAGACAAGTAACGAGGCAAATAACTTTCAGAATTAATACATAATTCTTGCTACAGTAAAATAGATTATTTACTTTGTTCACATAGAAATGGATAAAATGAATAGCAGCGCCGGTTAGTCCATAAAAGAGTTTGACTATTAATAGTAACACATTTGCCGGATTGCGGATCTCCGGTTATCAGCGGATTAAATTTTTCCCAGTTGCTAAATTGTTGAGAGAAACTTGAAGTATCAGGCCATAGCCACTCGTAATCGCCAATACCTGTTATATTATTTCCAACAGCTTCCAAACCAATCCACATTTCAGAAAGATTGGGTATAGCTGGTTTTAGAGCTAGTAATTTATCTTGCGATTCAATCTGAACTAGTTGTTTGCCAAGTGCTTCACAGAAACTTCGGGATAATTTAAAAGTTAGACTATCGTAATACGAAGTAATGCAAGTCCTGTTAAATAAAACCGATGGTGCCTTGCAATACCTATTCTCTATAAGTAAGAATGGAATGAATATGGCGCTCTGGTCAGATTTTAACATGTTACCAAATTTGGATATCTATAGGGCTTTACTTGAAAGAAAGCTAAGCTAATGTTGGAAAAGACTTACTGAATTGTATTTCGTATCCCGATAGAATATACGGTGAAATCATCGAATTTGGAGTGGTTGTGTTCAAGTCTTGGCATGAAATGAATTTATAGGTTAGTTGTGGAAAGATATTGAGATACTAGCACTTGAAATTGGTCAGAAATCAATTTAACTGACATCACTGGATAATTAGACTTGAAATCGCTATCAGGGAAATTTTAAATTCTTAGCTTAACAGCATAGTATGCTTATACTATAAAGTATTGCTGCATAAACTATATACGTTTACATGTATTATCTGTTCACTAAAACAACTACGAAATATACGGCAGAATTTATATCTGACTAAAATTAAGGTGATAGCCACTTAGAACCTTCATATACAAAATAAATTTTAAATTGAAACAATATATGATAGACGTTGTTGTTAAGCTACGTATTCATACATTGAATCTTTGAAAAAAGCTATTCTATCCTTTCTTTACCTAGCTGACAGATGAAACGAAAATGGTCATTGCAACTAAAATTCATCCATTGCAATTGGTTACTAGAATATCCTAAGTAAAGCCAGGTACACAAGATTGATGAACTGCTCGTACTGTTTTGGTCCCTTAAGGTCCAATTCTCAGAAGTAAAATTACTATTAATCCGATCATGATGAATTAACGTGCTATTTAAATCCACCGAATCAATCCAGTACAGCTCAATTAATGGACTATCGCTGCTCTCATTGAAAGTCTGCACCATATCATAAAGAATATCGATCTCACTTGCAGAATTAATCTGCAATAAAGTACCATTATAAGTAATTTTACAGTAGTTGACCGCATTAAAGATTGATGCTTGGGATTGACTGATGAAATAGCGCTTATAATTATGGCTAAACCATCGATCACCTGAAAAATAAAGAAAATATAAATATTTATCAATCCCGAATAGCTTAATAGTAGTCATTAATTTAATACGGCTAGCATTTAATCCTATGTCGAAGGCATTTAGATAAGATGTTTGAGCCTATTAGAATTCTAAATTCATAGGTGGATGTTAACAAGTTCGTTGCGGATATAAAATAGGTCGACAAGAACTATTCATAAAGAAAGTTCACTAACTTTATTTTAATCTTAATTAAATGCTGTACTAACGGCAAAGATATAATAGCTTGATTTCGAACGCAGCTTTATTACTGATACTTCTTTCTGCTTTAGCAGTTTAAATTTCAAATTGTATAATATTGTTTCTTAGCTGACAGATCTCTTACTGTGGCTATGAGACTGTTAAATATGACTAAAGCGTATATGTAAATATTACTGAGGAGTTTTTATGCGTACGCATCGCTTGAAAACTGTTGATATTTATGTATGTAGTATTTGGGTATTTGTGACAAATATTTAAAAGAGTAGATGAACTAAAGAAATTATACCAAACTTACCGGGAGATTGTATCATTTGAACATAATTTAGCATAAAGAGATAGACTAAGCTTCCGAGGGCAATCCATAACATGCTGGGTTTCTATTTACGAGCAAATATGATAAAACTTTAGTACAACTAATAACGTGATGTAATAGCAAAGAATTCGAAATTATAGACTTATCTGAGTTGTTTAAGCTCAGGTCTATCTATGAAGCAATTTAATCATTTAACTTAAAAGAATACAGTTACAAGTGTAATTTGTCTTGAAACTTAAAAGATATTTGTTATGGTGTTATCTCACCATTTGAATAGATTTGCGTAATCTTAGCTAATATGGTAGAACTGATGATATCTTGATGTTGTTGTATACTAATTATTGTCGATATATGAATATGTTATGTTAAATGGATTGTTTGACAGTATCGGTAATATGTAATAATGATTACTATGACTTAATAGAATAATCTCATACTATCCCTTAGTCGTAATCATGTGTAATGAGGTATCGAAGTTGTATTTGTTATTGTTATGTTCGATTATCATCGAGCCTTATAAAAGCGAGTGCGCTGCGCAAAAGGCTCTAGTTGTTGTAGTTCTCCAGTTCGTAAGTCGTCTTTACGTAAGATGAAAGGGCATTTAAGTCATAAGTTTGCTTAAGGACTTTTATCTTGCGTTTCCTTGCCACAAACAATTCCGGTTTGTGACAATAGTATAGGTCATATATTTTAGTGTGTAAATTTGAGTTAAATATCTAATCTCCATTACACGCTTTTTCTTCGTTCTTGGCTATATAAGATATAATAACAAATGTCGTTATAACGATTCCGTGACCATCCCAGTAATAATAACGTACAAGTATGTGTCTTATTTTTATATCAGTTAGCAAAATTTCCCGGTAGACTTCTCATCTAGTGAGCAATATTTATACCGAAGTGGAATATGGAGGCATAAAGAATTTCTTTGGTATATCAAGTCAACTATTATTGTGAATCAGTTACTAGAACTAAACTATGTTTTAGTAGATACCCCGAAAACTAGATGATTATAAATATTTTGTTCATATTCAAAGTTTGCTACTAGATTAAGTATCTTTTAATAGAGAGTTTAAATTTTACATTTAGATATCAGCAGTGTTGCATATTTTTACCGCTATTATGAAGAATAATTCAATTTCCATCACTTTTCATCATGCATTATATGCCTATATAGTTCACAAACAATATTAGACGGAAACTTGTAAAATCAATTAATATAGACTATAACCAACGTTTAAATATCGCCAATAATATATATTCAGGGAATTAAAGCTGTTTGGTTAATAAATACCTTGTAACTTAGTAAGTAAATCTTTAAGCCTAATAAAAACATTTAATAGACCATTCGTCAAATCGCTAATTTTATACAGTATTAATTATCATATTACACTGCTGGTGTAGTTTCCAACTATAGCATCATTATAGCGCCTTTGCAAATATGCAAAGCCTTCTCTCATTCATATTAAGAGCAGCCCAGCAGGATTCTATTGCCTCTTTGATAAGTTTATGATAGATTGCTTAATGTGGAATATTAGATTCATGATTATTAGAATAATATTCGTATGGAATAGTTTCAGCAGATTAACTGAACAGCCAGGTAAATATTTCAAAACTAGATGATACTAGTCTAAAACGAGTACAAAATAAAAATAAATCTTTAAATTATCATAATTATTGTACTTTGCTCTTTCTGTATTTTAATTACGCTCTTCTACAGGAAGTAGAATGACGCGGCTTCTCCTTTGCAATTATATTAATTAATACAACTAAAGTACTGTCACTACATTAGGATATTTGGGTAAAATTATAAAATTAGCTACAGTAAATGAGTTAATTCAAGCTTTCAATATACGAAATAAAAATGAAATTTACGATGATAATTATAAAATCCTATAGCAATATTTAATTTAAATTTTAAAATTAGAATTTGCATTTAACGTCAGTTCGTATTCTTACGTAAAAGATGCAATTTAGATAAAAGATTCTATAAACATTACTGAATGATATCAAACGTTATTTACTTTGTCAAAATAAATACAAAATCAATTTTCATTGTACAAGTAATATCGCATTTCGATGGTTATACATAACAAAGTTTTTCAATTACATCGGAATCTATAGATATTATTACGTAACTATTCTACTATAAATGATCGTACATCAATTAACACAATTTAACCCTAAAACGAACATAATAAGCGCAGATTGACTTTCTGATGAGATGGTTGATGGAAATAAGCAAATTTTTAATTATCAAGCAAAAGCAAGAGTAAATCATTTTGATAAAGATTGATAATTAATTGTACAAGAATGGAAATAGTAAATGACTGTGATACAAATTATTACCCATACGAACAGTAAATATAAAGCAATGAAGAACTTGTAGAAAACTATTTTAATACGTGAATTTCTTTAAGCCATCGATCCAGCTTAGATAATACTATTAAAGAAGTGCTGAGATTTTATTAGTGTTATCAAAAATGTTAAATTAAAAAAATTGTATTTAACCGTTTTGCCTATGGGTAATTGTCAGATCTAGGGTGGCGTGAGTACATTTCTACATCATATTAGTTACATCCGTATAGCAAATTTTGAAAATTTTATCGATATTCAATTAATAAAAGTGAAACTTATTACCAAAGCTTCTCTTTAACTTTAGGTCATCAATACAAAGATATTTGTTTTAGTTGGTGAACGCGAATATGTCCCAGTTATCAAGTTTTAGCGATAAATACTTAAAAATATCATTATTTTCACATGCTACGACATATGTTTTTAATAATTAGTGAGCATTAGTGCAAAATCAAACCGATTTATTTTATTTTAATTCCAAAAACCAGAATGAAAATATAATAACTCAGAAAATTCTGAAATAATAAGTGCTTACTTCATACTTACTGAATAAAGGGAAAACTTTGACATGGCTTCTAGATTCTTATCAGTCTTGTGTTTGATATTATTCGCATTCGAATTATAAATACTGGTATCAACTGCTAGAATATAAAGCAAGTGAGCTAAAAAAGGTAGGATAATTCATTGACTGTCTGGAAATATTCACTTACTGTAGTCTTAATCAAATGGTATTATTAAAGCATTTCATCTTGTGAAATATTATATAGTTTAGTATTGGTAATTGTTACCATGCTTGTAAAATAAATACTTGACTATAACAAAGTCGTCACTAAATCACTATTGATCATTGAGGACAATAAGCGGCAATCATTTCTGTTGCGAGTTGTTTATCATAAATAATTACTACTATCATTATATTCCA